AGTTTAGACTGTAGCTCATGTGTAGGAGGGCTCCGCGGATGTTGTTCCGGGCCACGCAGGTTTCTGAGCGGGTATGATGTGGGGACTGTACGAAGGCAATTAGTTGTCGAAATCATGGTCCTTTCCTTGGGAAGGTTGACTCCGAAGAAGATCACAGTTGTCATTGCAAAGGGACTATAATGGGATACCAAGGGAACCCCAAGAATATAGAAGGACTTCAATAGGGTTTCCATTTTACTCACCCTGGTTTGAGCGCAGCCCATATGGTTCCTTTGCGAGGCTGCCAGAGACAGGCAGGAGATCTGGGACCGCCGTGCAGGCAGGCATGCATTGGATGGCAAGGTCTACTGTGAGAGTCAGGTGGACTTTGTAAAGTATGTTCACAGTGGGGAGAACTCCAAGTGGGGGAGCAGTGAATGTGGTAGGGGCGATCGGATGCAGATGAAGCAAAGCCAGGAGACTTACTAGTGTTTGCAAATGCATGGAAAGCAGATGTATTCGCTCATGGAGGGCCACATTTGCCCCCCAGAATCCCCTGGCCCTAGGGCTCAGCTTTCCCGCGGGACGCAGGCCCGCCCCAGATCCTTCCACAAAACCCCCTCCCCATTTCCAGAACCCTCCGCTCCTCTATCAACAGATTTTGAAGGCGCGGGGCTTGGGTGTCGATATTAGGAAGGGGGAGGGCGACATTTTTGCCATGTTAGGTTGATCCTGGGTTAAGCCTCTGACATCTTGTCTGCTAGCGTTTTTAAAGCAGAGTTTGAAGAGGACGCGCATTTTTTTTGGTTTACTTCTTGGCGAAATTGCAGATTTTGAGAGCTTCGGCACTGTCTCCCTGACTCCCCTAGCAAAAGGAGAGCATGCCTGCTAAGGTTTCTACAATTTGGGTCCTTTACTACAAGATTTGGGAGACACACAAAGGTCAGTAGTTCTGCTCTTTGAGTAAGATCTGCATAGTTCCTGGGCGCAAAATTTGGGCAACATTTTTGCAGGGCCAGAAATGCCTCAATTTTGGAGCACTTTGGTTGCGCAATTTTCGCAATCCTGGGATGCAAAAAAATCTGCAAAGGTTGGTGCGAAATATTTATTCTGAAGTTTGTCCAACAGGACTAGGATAAGAATCTTATACCTGTTTATAATGAGGGGGACCTGTGATAGCGAAAATGAGGATTATTCAAAGGAAGCTTTTCCTCTCCGGGGTGCCTTCAGTTTCAAGCATCTGAACCTAAGCGGCCAGACTGATAATCCACGAGAGATAATGGTACCACTTTGAGTCATACCCCAAGTTTTGAAATCCCTCCAGACTTTTTGACGGCTCTTAGATTCCAGTCCTTTCTTGCAAATTCCTAAAGCTTAAAACCCAATCACCAAGCCCTAAGCCCTAAACCTT